CTTGCACTTTGTCTGTATTTGTCCTTGCAGCTGAGATGTGTCTCTTGAAGGTGGCATATGGTTGGGTTTTGTTTTTTTGATTCATTCTGCTACTCTGTGTCTTTTTATTAGTGAAATCAGTCTATTTACATTTAGAGTGATTATTGAAATATGAGGCTTTCCTATAGCCATTTTATCTTTTGTTTTCTGGTAGCTCAGTGTCTTCATTGTTTTTTTGTCCTTGTGCTTCTGTTACTTTAATTTGGTCATGTTTTATGGTTTCTTTTTCTCTGTTCCCTCTTGTTTTATGTATAGCCACTATAGCCAGTATAGGCAGTATAGCCAGCTTCTATCTGTTACTTTAATTTGGTCATGTTTTATGGTTTCTTTTTCTCTGTTCCCTCTTGTTTTATGACTTAGTTATGGATTTTTGGTGAGTGGTTACCATTAAGTTTATGTAATGGATAGTTATATATACATATACAATAGTCCAGAGGTTCTCACCTTTCTGGAGCCAGGGACCAGTGCTCCTGTGAGAATCTAAAGCCTGATGATCTGAGGCGGAACGGAGGCGGTGATGCTAGAGCTGGAGAGCCAGTGGCTGGCAAATACAGATGAAGTTTTACTAACTCTCCCACCGCTCACCTCTTGCTGTGCAGCCTGGTTCCTAACTGGCCAGTACCGGTCAGCGGCCAGGGAGGTTGGGGACCTCTACCTTAAAGTACATCTGTAGGTGTGAACTGCCCAACAACCTAGCATTTCAGATTGAATTCTTAAACCAACCACAACATGGCAAATTTCCACCTCTGTTCCAAAGAGCGAAGCTCACTGTCTATAATTTGAATAGGTGGAAAACTTATGGGATAGAGATGATATTAAGGTAAAGTGTTCTGGATAGTGAGAGGCCAAATGCCCCACTCCCATGAGAGGAAGAAGGAAAAATGAAGAGAGCACATGTCTCAATTCAACAGGTAACATGGAGTTGGGATCTCGGAAATGGTGGCAGCTCTCAAGGGTGATAGTCCCGGGGACAAACACAAAGGTTCTTTTCAGCATCATTCCTAGGGATCAGCACCTCCAGCCTCCAATGATCTCCTCCATTCTTAGAAAGACTAAAATTCGTGTCCTTTTTATTGTTTATTATGAGGATCCTTTTTCTTTTCTGTTCTGCCCAGTTTATATTCGGTTATTAAGTCTAATCAAGCAGAATTTGGTGGGGAGACAACTGTGTTTTAGAATGGCCTTCCAATGGCTCATTCCCTTCAGTGACAATGTACTGATTAGTCATTTAGCTCACTCATTCACTTTCCAAATCAAGATGTTTTTCATAGCACAGCGAATATAGTTAATAACAGTGGAATAACTATGTATGTGGTGCCAGGTGGGGACTGATCGGGAGGATTACTTTGTACATTACACAAATGTCTAACCACTGTTTTATACACTTAAAACTAATATAATACTGAATGACAACTCTAACTGAAAAATAAAAAGTCTATGTTTTTGTTTTTCTGTGCTGGGAAATATAAAATCAGGTAAACCAGTGCTCCCCAATTGAACTTTCTGGGATGATGGAAATGATGACAGATTTCTCTCAGTATATACTTTTTGCTCACTGTCTCTGCTGTCAGTTGAGGTAGCCACCAGCTTTATGTGGCTACTGAGGGCTTAAAATATGGTCTAGGGCAAAGAAGGAAATGAATTTAAATAGCAAAACAATTATCGAGGAACTTTTAATCTACTTGGGGAGATGAGACACGGGCGTTAAAAAAATAACTTACTTGTATTCTGAGATGCTTCCGTTCCCTTAAGAGGTGTCCATTCTGTCCCTCTAAACCACATACCCCTGGAACAACAAATTATCATAACTCCTTGAAACAATGATTCCATATCTGCCATGGAGTGAATTTCGTATCCCCCTAAATTCATATCTTGAAGCCTAACTCCAAACGTGATATTAAGAAGGGCATTTCAGAGATGATTCACTTGAGGGTGGAGCCCTGGTGAATAGGATTGGTGCCCTTATAATCCAAGAGGCCCCAGAGAGCTCCCTCATTCCTTCCCTTATGTCAGGACACAGTGAGGTGAACCAGGAAGTGGGCCCTCGGCAAAGAATCTACTGGTACCTTGATTTGGGGATTCACAGCTTCCAGAACTGAGAAAGAAATTTGTTTTTATAAGCCACCCAGGCTATGGTATTCTCTTAAAACAACGAGAATGACTACGACAATGACTATTTCACCTAGTTTAGATATTTACAGCCTCTCACCAGATCAGCTGGAGTATAGAGATACCACTTAAGAGATGATCCGAGTACCTCACTGTTCTCTCCGGGAGACCGGGGGCTTCTGTGTTGTCACCACCGTATCCTCAGCTCCTGGAACAGAACCAGGTACAAAGGAAGTATCTGACAAATACTCCGGTAAATGAGACAATCGATTCACTCGGAACTTGATTCATGAGTCCCTCTGCATGGTATAAACTTCTGAGAGTTTCTGGGAGACATCCCAGTTTTCAAATAACCCTTCATCTTGGCCTGGGGAAACTGATATATATTGCCCATAGCCCACCAATCCAGTATTAACCCTTTAGTGGTTTTTCCTTCTTAGCAACATTCCAGATACAAAGTGCATTAAAAATTCACTTTATTTCCTCCACTTAGCTTCTTTTGTTCCTTTGACACGACAGAGAACCTTAAGGATATTTGGATTAACATAAGATTACGCCTCTGCATCGATGCACATATTTAATAGCATCAAGATATCAGGCCTTCCCAGTCTCAGCATCTATACGATTTCTCAGTATTTACTTTAGAACAGCTCACTTTTCTCCTACTGGTTTCCTGGGACATAAAATAAGACATAATTGATCACTGAAGGCGTGACCACACTCACTGCATTCACGGGGTTTCTGTCCTGTGCAAATCCTCCCGAGGGCGCACATCTGGCCACAGGCTGGCCCACTATGACTACGTTCCTGTTATTTAGTGCTGTCTGAGGGACCACACAAGGTACCTGCACAGTCACCGTATTAACAAGGTTTTTCTCCTGCAGGACAACACTGGTTTGTGATGACTTGTAAGTCTCTGAGGGAGGATTGTCCACCTTGACCGAATCTCCACGTTTCTCTCTTGTGTGTATTCTCTTATGTTTCACAAGGCAAGACATGTAGGCGAAAGCTTTCCCACACTCACTGCAGGTATAGGGTCTCTCTCCTGTGTGAGTTCTTTGATGGACAATGAGCTTCTGCTTTGTAGTGAAGGCTTTCCCACAGTCGCTGCACTCAAAGGGCTTCTCTCCTGTGTGAATTCTTTGATGTTTAATGAGACCTGATTTCTGGGAACAGGATTTTCCACATTCGCTGCAGACGAAGGGGGTTTTTCCTGTGTGAAATCTCTGGTGTGCTATGAGACATGTCTTCTGGATGAAACCTTTCCCACATTCGGTGCAAATATAAGGTTTCTCACCTGTATGAATTCGCTGATGTACAATGAGATTGCCCTTCTGGATGAAGCCTTTCCCACAGTCACCACATATAAAGGGTTTCTCTCCTGTGTGTGTTTTCTGATGTATATTGAGCCGTGACTTCTTGAGAAAGGCTTTGCCACATTCAGAGCATTTGTAAGGTTTCTCTCCTGTGTGCGTTCTCTGGTGCTCAGTGAGCATAAACTTTCTAGAGAAGGCTTTGCCACAAACACTACACCGATGGGGTTTCTCTCCTGTATGAATGATCTGATGATCAGTGAGCCAAGATTTCTTCATGAAAGCTTTTCCACATTCACTGCACACATGCGGCTTCTCTATTTTCTGAGGTTTCTGATGCTTAATGAGTTGAGACTTAGTACGAATGAGTCTTCGTGTTTCAGAGAATTTCACTCCATTCTGAAACAGTTCACTGTTAGCACGGAGGAAGGATTTCCCATCTCCAGTAAGCTCAGCACAGTTCTCTGTTTCATACTTTCTTCTCTGGTTAAGTAAAGTTAATTCTGATTTCATACTTTCTCCATGTGAGCCAAATATATCATGATTTTGACGTAATAGAAAATGAGTTTTGCTCTGACGGACAGAATTGTCAAATGTGTTACGTTCGTGCCATTGTTCTAGGTTGTTCTCCATGCTTCCATCTTGGAAGTGCTCTAGCACATGATCATCAACTTTCCAGATTCCTGGGAAAGAAAAGAACAATCAAGTCACCCATCATCTTGATTTGGGAGAAAGGTAATTAAAAAAAAAAAAAAAAAACCTTGACATGAGGTGTCATTTTTAGTGATGACCCTATGATGTCAGTTTAAATAAAACTCCATGTTCAGTGTTCCTCATTCATTGGAAAAAACACATAGTGAAAACACACAACTTTGGCTACTTTCTGAGTATTGGCTTTGCCTAACGTGCAGAGACTGTAAAACATTAGTAATTTACTGTAGCAGCAGACCATGGGTGGGAGGCCACCTCATCCCAACTGGTGGGAAACGGTCGCTCTCTCCACGTTCCTAACCGATGGCTACTGTGGACGAGGCGTGGTGCTAGGATGCAGAGACAAAACATAGTCCTCACGTTCACGGAGCATGCGCCGCACTTCGGTAAAACCACTCAAAGGGCAAAGGCAGACATGAGGGAAACAGCGACATGTTGTGAAAGCTGGAGGGAAGACACACAGGAGATGGAGAGGGACAGAGGAAATCAGGCCGCATTTGGGAAGCCAGGACTCACTGGTGGATGCACTGTTGCGGGTGGCATGGCGGGAGTAAACAAAGCACACAGCATCAAGTTCTTCTAACGTACGACCTCCAAAACGGAAGTCCTGGTTTCCCAACGCAAGTCGCCTTCTCCACATGCCGCCTCCATCACCATCAGTGACAAGTCCACTCTTCTCTTTGACTGTGGCAAAGCTTCTGAGTGTCCCCCTTCATTTGATTCTCACTCTCACACACCGCCATCGACCTCTGGGATCGATCACGCCCGCTCTCCTTTATAAATACACTCAGAATTGGACCAACGCACAAACTCCCGCCCGGTCGAAGGCATCTCTCTCTCGTGGGACAGCAGGAGCCTCCTGCTAGGCCTGCCTGTTCCTCTCCCGCCAGCGACTGTCTATTTTCTATACAGTAGCCGGAGTGATCCTTTCAAGATAAATTATATTACATCAGTCCCCCCCCTCTCAAAACTCCTTAGTGGTTTCTCATCTCATGGGAATGAAATCGAGCACTTGGAACGTCCTTGAAAGGCCCTTACGTGACTTGCTACCCCAACTCCCAGCCACTACCCCGCTGACCTTGTCTCCAGTCTTGCCCACCATGCTCTATCCGATCAGGCTTCTTAAGGTGCTTCAGATACAAGCCTCTCACCTTTCCAGCTTTACTCTGGAACAGTCTTCACGCAAGGAGCCCACGCACATCCCTCATCTACCTGCTCAAAGATTTCTTATTCCTAAAATCAGCGCCAAGGCCAAGCTCAATAATCCTTTGTGCTGATGCCTTAATGTTCCTCACGGCAAGTTTCATCCCAAGGACCTTCCCGTCAGCCTTCATCTTTGTCCTCCTCTCACAGCCCATATTGAATTTAATGTCAAACCTCGTCTGCCTGCTATAGTAAGTGTTTCCAAATTTCGCTCAGAAAAATCTTAGTTTATGAGAATGAGGAAAACTTTGAAAACATAGAATATCAGAGGAGAAAATGAAAAAAGAACTTTTGTAGAACCTCAGAGTGGCCAAAAAGAAAAGCTAAAAAAAAAAAAGGAAAGCAGAAGATTGCAGAGATAAAGACCAGTTCACTCTGTGGGCACAGCATCCATGATGGGCGGATGGTCAGAAGGGAAGCCATTACTTGTGGGGCAGGATGGTGCAGTAGTCAGAGGACAGTGAGAACCTTGGGGTTTTGTCTTTGGAGGGTGGCCTTGGACAGTGGAATCTCAGAGCAAGTGAGATGGAAGTGTAAGACGAAGGATTTGTAAGGATTTGTAAGATTTGAGAATCCTAGAAAGGAGAAAACTATGCAAACCAAACAATCAAGATGTACGTAATACAAAGAATGAGCAGATCCCAGCAGAGATAAAGGGATATAGTTTTCTGTAAGCTCCTACAAAGAAAAAGGGGTGTCCCATCAGAAGAGACAAGCACGGTGGCACTGCTCACCTGTCCTCAAACCCCCTCACGTCTGTGACTCTTCTCTCAATGACTAGAATGGCATTTCCACGCATGCACCTTGCTGGTTCTCTCACTCACCTGAACGGGATCGAGAGTGGACTTCGTCTGCCATTGTCCATGGTGGTTCTCCCTGATCCAGCCTGGAGAGTCTGTCTGGTTTCCTGGCTTGACAACCTGTTCATAGAAAATGATAGAAGACTTAGATACACCGAATTGGGCTCGCAGGTCTGTGAAGTCTGCAGGATGTTACATCTGACAAACAATTCTCACACCTACAAAGTCAAGGCTCTTTTCTCAGGAGAAGGGAGAATACAGCCATTTCTCTGGAACCAGAGTGGGCACTGAGACGCGTCTACCACTTCAGGGCATCGCGGACCCTCCAGAGCTTTCAGGAGCTGAGGAAGGAAAGATCACTGACCAGGCACCCTCGGAGTGACACAGGGGAGCTGTCCTCACCCACTGACACCAGGTTGCTGTAGTTCTCTGACATCACGTCCCGGTACAGGTCCTTCTGAGCGGGGGCCAGGAGCTGCCACTCCTCCCAGGTGAAGTCCACGGCCACATCGTCAAATGTCAGGGACTCCTGTAAGAACACCGTGCAGTTTAATGGACTGATGTCCTTTTGAAGATATGAAAGAAATGTTAGTTTTTCTGTTCACTTCCACTTCATAGGATGAATCTATCTGTTTTTTTTTTTTTAATGCACCATGGAAAAAGCAAAAGTCTAATAAAATATTCTGTAATTGTATATTCAGTCACCTATCCACTCATTCAAGTAAAAGTTTCTATAATGTGTAGAAGTTAAATGTTCTTCCTAACCTAGAAATACCACATTCATTCATATATCTATATATATGACATATGCTAACGACAAGATGACTAGTCTTCACAGTCCCCCGTCCTCCTACTGCCCTAGGGTGCTCAGGTTTTATTGCTGGATAAATCTGGACCCCGCTTTTAAAAATTTATACTTTTCAGATTAATGAAGTGCTTTTTTTTTTATAGGCTTCTACAAATCTATTAGGAACAAAGAAAAAAATATAAAGAAACCAAAGTCACCTGAGGCTGCAGCATTTTCTTCTATTTTCTTCTGAAAACAGCTCACAAGGAGGAAGCTTCTGTCTTGGTGTCTTTTGGAACCACTCTAAATTTCTGTCTAGAAAGTCTTAAGTCAGGTGTGTCCCCGGAAATGCTGACACCCAAACTAACTTCTTCCTCTTTCAGCTGATTCTTTTGCTCCTGGGCATCGAGACCTGTGAGTTGTGGAGAAAATTCAGTTTGAATGGTACATTTCCACTGGGCCCAGATGCTAGAACATTCCTGAGCACTCGCCTTCACACAATCCCACGAGATCTGAGGAACGTGTCCCTCCTTACATGGGGTCTAGAAGAATTTACATGTCTAGTCACTAAAACCTTAGGGTCTAAATGTGTGTGGGGATGTCCCTTTCATTCCTGAAGTTTTAGTGGGGCGACTGTCAAAGGAGACCTGGGAAATGACATCCAGCCCCGCGCCATACCTCAGGAGCAGGTGACCCTCACGCAGGTCAATGACACAAACAGACCACATGGAAAGAGAGAGTCTGGGCACTGTGTCCACCCAGTGCCTGCACCCATTTCAGTTTGAAAACCAATGCGGTGGGCAAATCATCAGCACTGTTTTATCAGCGATAACGATAATATCTCAGGAGGTTTTAAACACATAAAAAACAAATAATGTTGCAAATAAATTGGAAAATGATAAATGAAATTGAAGTGCTCTAAGATTCCTGTATCATCAGAGAAGAATGTAAAAATGCTAATTAATATAAGAATCTGACAAAGGTTCCTTGCTGCATGTAATCTCCAGTATCAGCATGAAAACTAACGATCGTCTTAAAGTATATAATTTCTGTGCAAACAGAAGAGAGAAATGGAAGAAGAAATTCATCCAAAGCAGGAAAAAAAAAGAGAGAGAATAAACAACAGAGAACATTAGGGCAAATATAATGCACTTAAGTGACTGTTTTAAAACAAAGCATACTACGGAAGGGGGTAGGGGGTAGATGAGGGTAAAGGGGGTCAAATGTATGGTGACGGAAGGAAATTTAACTCTGGGTGGTGAACACACAATGCAGTATACATATGACATCCTATTGAATTGTACACTTGAAACCTATGTAATTTTATTAACCAATCTCACCCCGATAAATGTAATAAAAAGATAAAGCATACTAAACATTGTTAAGTATAAACAGAACAAGGAGTCCAGTTAATTATGTTAAATACAAACGTCTCAAAACTGTCACACTGGATTAAGATTTAGGCCTTTTGAGGTATGCTTCTCTTGCTCAGGCCCGCCTCCATGTCGGGAAGTGTACTCTCCCTTCTAATAAAGCTTTTCTTTTCTGCTGTAAGCAACAACAACAAAAAAACTAATACCATGCTATGATAGGTGGTATGACTGAAACATAATGATAAGGAAAACTCGAGAATAAAAGGTTAGAAAAAGATATACCATGAAAAAGAATAACCACGGATAATCTGGTATAACGACATTCTCACGTGTCGTTATAGGAGCTTGAACTTCAGCTCACAACATACACAAAATGAACCGGAAAGCCCAAAAATTATGACAGAAAGAGAGACAATGATCACTGGTAGAGGTTCAATTCACCGCATTATAAAAATTTGCAATTTTTATGCACCTAACAATATAGCCTTGAAATGTATACGGTAAAAATGGACCAAAAAACAAGAACAAAGATATCCAGACTAATCCAGATTTCAACACACCTCTCCCAGTAACTGACATAGAACAAACGTGCCTTCTACAACAACATTTATAAGCAATATCATTTTGAAGAGCATCAGAAATATTTGATAAGTGGGATGCAATCGTGAGAAATTTTAAGTCTTAAATAAATGGAAAGATGGACTGTGACGATGACTTAGAAAACCAAGCATTTTAAAGATGTATTGCCAAATAAGTAGAGCATGGGCTCACCTTCGTACCCTATTACCTAGCAATTGTATTCCCAGATGAAATTCTCTCCAATGAAATTCTTGTACTTTATATTGAGAGGCAACGTTACAGTGAAGGGTTAAAGAAGTACAAATTAGTAGCTGATAGATGGTCACAGGGATGGGAGCATGGCATAGGGAAGGCAGTCAGCAGTAAAGTAATGGCTAGATGGAGAGCCAGAGGGGTGAGAAAGTAATCAAGGAGATCGTTGCATAAACTATATAAACATCTAACCAATGAACTGTATATTTGAAACTAATAAAATAAAATGCTAAAAAGAAGTCGTATCTCCCAAATGCATACGTAGATCCAATGACATCCCAATCAAAATCATAAACTGATGCTATACGCACCTTCAAAAAAAAGTTGGAAGACTTGCTCTGTCAGTTTTGAGGGTTTAAATTTACTTTAATTATGATAGTGTGCTATTAGTACAATAATAGACAAATAGGCCAGAGGAACAGAATGAAATGCTTATGAACAGACTCATGCGTATATAGAGACTTGAAGACACGGGTAGCAATGCAGGGAAGAGGGCAAGAATGTCTTTTTTTTTTTTTTTATGATGCTGACACAATCAGATATCCACGCTGGGGCATGGAGGAATGGGGAGAAGGAGCTTGAACTCCAGCTCACAACGTACACAAAAATCAGTTGGGGGCTAACGCTCAATCTCGACGAGAGAGGCAAATCAATAAAACTTTAAGATGATAACACAAAAGAACCTCGTAATGTTATGAGGGCATGGAAAGATATTTTAAACAGACCACATAATGCATCCTATATAGCAAATTACATTATGCTATATACGTAAAGGGTACAACCACCTGGGGAAACATTTTGACATCATCTATTTAAACTGAAGTTACACACTCCCTAAGACACGGCAATTTCGCTCTGGGGTATACATCTAAGCTAAATATCCCCTTGCTAATAAGGGCGCCTTTGAACCTGAAGACATGTACAGGATTTTCATAGTGGCAGTATTCCTAACAATCCAAACTGCAAACAGTACAAGTTTATTTAATAGTAGGAAAAACTTCCATACACTCAAACTGTGGAATGCTACAGGGAAAATACAACCTTGGCCTAGCTTGCAAGCTAAGAATGGTTTTAACGCCTTTAAAGGATGTTAAAACAGAAACGTGTTTGTGAAGCATATGTGAGAGAGAGACCCTCTGTGGCCTGCAGCTCCTAAAATATTTACCATGTGAACTTTATAGAATAGCCTTGTCTGTTACAGAGTAAAAACAAAACAAAACAAAATGAACAAAAAACACCCATGTGCAAAAAAAATCGTACAAGCATTGAGCAAAAAAAAGCTTGACATAAAAAAAATGGGTTGTATAATTACATTGATAGACAATTGAAAATAGGCACAACTAAATAAAGGCTAGGCATGAGTAATTATATGATAAAACTATAAAGAAAAGCCTTAAAGTGTTTGGTATTGAGAGCAAAGAATGATAATTACCTTTAGGTGGGAGGACGTAATGTAATTGAGAGGGAGCTCACACAACACCGCTGGGTGCCGGCAGAGTGCCTTCTTGACCTGGGCAGTGGCTGTTTATATACAAAAATAGTACAAAACTTTATATACAGCACATATATTTAAAAAACATGTTCAGATTCTAAATATTTTACATATAAAGTATATGTAAATACCACATATATACATATATGTAGATACTTTTATAGTGATTAACCTGCAGAACTTTTAAGTTAACAAATAAATGGAAGAGCTCAACAATACCAAACGCTTGTTCTTTAAAAAGACCGGTAAGATATATGCATTTGTAGTGAGACAGATCGAAAGAAAACTCGTGCAAATAAAGTAGACAAAAAGTAACGGGAGACATAAATCACATTAAAGACTTTTTTTTTTTTTTAATTTAAAGTATACTATGAACATTTTTATGTCATTAAATTTGAAATCCTGGTTGAATTTGTCATTTTATGTTCCTGCCCTCCTAGATAGTGTTAATTCCAGAAAACCCAGCAGGTGAATTTTCTGGGACACAGCTGTCCACTACCACCCCAACTTTCCTACTTTGTATTGCAGATTTGAGCCAAAGAATTGAGATAAGAATAAATTATAAACATTAGAAAGTAGAAGAGAAAATTAAGGTTATATTCAGACAATATCATCATTGACATGGAAAAGGAGATTCAGGGAATTTTCAAGAGAAAATGCCCCCCCACAGAAACCACTAACGGATTTTCACATATCTACCTGGACCTAAGTTCATTTCACAGAAACTCAATAACTAGCAATAGGAACTGGAAACCACCACGACTGGCTACGATCGACCAGGACTTAGTAATAAACTAGGGTATCAGTCGCCTCGCCAGAGGGGTGAGTACTAAATAACACGTAGTTTGTTAGCAAAGAAGAAGGTGTGACTGTATGTCAGGCAAATAAGCAAGTGTCCGCTGCTATACATTGAGGTGAGCGCAGGCGTTGGCAAGCGTTTTCTGCAAAGGGTTACGGAGTATGTATTTTCGACTTTGAGGGCGGTAAAGTCACTGGGAGTCAGTTCTGCCTTTGCGGCCACAGGTGGGGAGCGAGCGACAGGCGTGTCTGAATGAGTCGCTCCTGCAGTTAGTCAATCTAGGGATTAAAAAAAGGCTTAAAAAAAGAAAAAGAAAAAAGAAAAAAAGGTTTCTGACCATCAGCCCGCCTCCTCTAAGTTAGACGTCCAAGTTAGACACATAAGATCCCGCGCGGGCTCTGAAATGAGGTTACGTCTGAAGCAGGAAACGTACAAGAATTTTCACAGCATCGCGGTTCGTAACAACCCAAACTGCAATCACGAGTTCAATGAACAGTGGGCGAAACCGCCGTACACTCAAACTACGGGATGCTACGGGTTCCGTTCCCTTATCGGCTGCGGAGGGTGGAACTCGGGGTCCTGGCGTCCAAAGCTGGCCCGCAGACGCTGGTCACACACACCCCCGGTTATCCCAAACCTGGCCCCGGCATCCCATATGATGACCTCCTCGCCGACCCCGGCGTCACTGAGCCACAGAAGAAATCCCGAAGCGGAACCTGACACCGCGATCATCCTGCCACCTGCATCCGTTGCAGAGGGACCTGCAAAGACCCTGACAGTTGGGACAGGGTCGGTGACCTCCACAGACCCTTAATCGTCTAATGAGCCCCAAGATACAATAACCACAGACAGGTGCGTGACAGGCTCCCACCTGGCTTCTCCCACGCGGTCCGCCGATAATCCCGCAGGTCTAACGACACCACTTCCTACCCTGTGACGTCACGTACCCTGTGAGAGACAACGCCCCCGAGGCAAAAAATTTTCGAATAAACGTCAAAGGCCAAAAGCACACACAGACCTGATATTCTCCTGCCTACCATGAGGGTCTAAACGTAACGCTTCCGTGAAATGCTTCCGCTTCTGGAAACGTCGCCCAGATATTTCGGCTGCCTACGGCGGCCTACGAGGAGCCCACGCGTTTGCAGAAACGCGGACAACTGGATTTCCGGTAGGTCTCCGGAAGCAATATGTCCGCGCCCAGTTCGCGGTGGAGCTATGGGGGCGGCCATGTTGAGAGACCAGACTTGACGTACGGAAGGCAAAGGGGCGTGTTTGGGATGGTGGGAAGGTGAGAAGCCACTGAAATTGGCTCGTTTCCTGCTCCGACTCTTGTGGAAAATCAGTAGATTTATAGAGACTCGAACTTCGCCAGGTAAATATGGAGCGAGCAAAATCGCATTCGGCGTGCTGGGCAGAGAAGTCATATGGCTGCGACCTTTATTTCGCTTTATATAAAAAAAATTTTTTTTTTTTTTTTAAGATTTCGAAAGGGACAGAAGTTCGGGTGTCACTATAGCAGCAGAGAACGAACGTCTGGAAAGAGAAATGTCATTCATCTGGTAAAGGGACACCCACGGGAAGCTTCTAACGGGAAATTGCTTGCAGGAAGTGGTTTTTAAGAACACGAAAAGATTTTCAGAAACTGGTACTTTGTGAGACTGGCCATCACCAACTAGGGGAAACGAGCAGCTAGGAGGAGCCTAAGTTGTCATTGTGGGATGGAGGTCTCGGGGAAAGGCTTTTAAAAGTGAGGCCAGTAAATGTCTAGAGCCAATGAGAAAGGAACAACCAAAATTGAGAATCTAAAAATATTAAGGTCGATATTTTTGACCAAGGAGCCAAGATAATCCATTGTTAGCCTTTTCGACAAAAGATGCTGGGATAATTGCATATCTATTTGAGGAAAAATAAATTAAGACTCCAACCATAAACAAAAAGTAACTCAAAGTAATCACAAACTTAAATATAAGAGTTAAAAGTATAAAACTTAGGGAAGCAAACAGGAGATAGTTTTTCTGAACCTGAGTTAACCAAAGCGTTTTGAGAAAAGATGGTAAAGAGAAGACATAAAATAAAAAATAATAAACTGAACTTAATTAAAATTGTACTTCTAAACACAACATTTAAGAAAGTGAAGAGTGGGAGAAAATATTCCACATTATACATCTGATAAAGAACTTGTATTCAAAATATATACAGAATTCTCGAAACTCAATAAATTAACCATACAATTACTTTTTGGGGGTCATGAACTTTTCTAAAAATTGGATTGTGGAGATAGTGTAACAACTCTGAACAGTACTATATGTAATTGAGTTGTACACTTACTATGTAAATGTTACATGTAAATTATGACCATAAAGTTGTTAAAATGAATTGCTGTTAAAAAAAAAAGCTGTTAAAATGAAAAAAATAGAAATTAATTCTATACTTTGAAATTTATAGGGTATTAAAAAAAAACAAAGTATAATTGCAAAATTATAAACTACCTAGGATTAAAAGTAAATGAAGATGTCTGGGACATATAAGAAAAAAGGTACAAACAAAACATGGAATGAGAATGTAAGAATTTAGATAATGAGAGGATGATAATATAAATTGAACATAATTGAATTTTGCATTTTTCAAGTATACCCCACTTTAATGCATACCTCCTATGTGACTAGTTACCATTCCCTTCACCCATGACATTATAGCCACCTAATATTGTACATAAATATAAATATTTAATAATACGGACCTATGTTTATATTGAGAAACTAAGTAATAAAATTAGATTATCCCTGTTTTTTTCTCCCCAGTTTTATTGAAATATGATTGACATAGATTAGACCTACTTTTAATAAACTTTAGTTGGGGAAATTTTAGATTTACACAAATGTCACAGGGTACTACAAAAAGTTCACATATACCTTCATTCGACTTTCTGTCATGTGAATATTATACATAACCATGGTACATTTGTCAAATTGAGAAATTAACACTGGTATAATACTCAACCGAATTACAGATTCTACTTGGGATTTCACAAGAGTTCTCTTTAGTGTTCTTTTTCTCTCAGGATACAACCCAGGATACAACGTTGCATTTAAACAACATGTTGCCTTGGTTTTCTCTGCTGCATGACCATTCCTCACAGCCTTTTTCTTTTTCATGTCCTCATTTATTTTGAAGGAGTGCTAATCAGGTATTTTGTATATTATCCATCTTTTGCATTGGTCTAGGTAGTCTTCATTAAACAGGGATTATGAATTTTGGAAAAGACACCTCAGAATGAAATCCTTTTTTCATCACATCAAATCTAAGGGTACAAAATATCAAAATGACTTAATGTGGATCTCCTGGTAAAGGTAATGTTTGCCGGGTTTCTCCACTGAAAATAGCAATAGTAATTGTATGTGATTGTTATGTAAATTTATTCTTGCATCTCTGTATTCATACCTTTGGATAGTATCCCCTCACAATGACTCTGAACAGTGTGTCCAATGGGACAAAAGCAAGTGCAACACAGAGGACAGAAGTAGATTTGCTCATCAAGACATGTTTGATTTGTCTCTTGGAGCTCTTCTAACACATTGTAATAGAGCACAGACTAACTTCTTTCAAAATAAGAGAGTCATCCATTCCAATGGAGGCTCAGATATGTGAAAAAAAGCCATCTAGACTATGCAGCCCCAGTTAAGACAGCCCACACCAGATATCCCAACCCTCAACCTACACAACAGAGAATATTGTCCTTAGACAACATGTTCCAGGGAGGTGTAGGTTTGTAAAGTGGGAAGTGGAGGGGGGGGAATGCAGATGGGTGAAGGTAGTCAAAAGGTACAAACTTCTACTTACGAGATAAATAAATCCAAAAATAACAATAATAAAGTGTGGACCATCATTAGCCTTTAGGGCAACGCAAACTCAAGATCAGAAACTATGGCATACTTATTAGAATGGTCAATGTAAAAAATATAATGGCGATATCAAGTGCTGGTGAGGAGAGGGGGATGCAAATGGGTGAAGGTAGTCAAAAGGTACAAACTTCTACTTACGAGATAAATAAATCCAAAAATAACAATAATAAAGTGTGGACCATCATTAGCCTTTAGGGCAACGCAAACTCAAGATCAGAAACTATGGCATACTTATTAGAATGGTCAATGTAAAAAATATAATGGTGATATCAAGTGCTGGTGAGGATGAAGAGTAATTGAATCTCTCATATGTTGCTAGTAGAATGGCTAAATAAAATATACTGAAAGTACCAAGTGCTGGAGAGGATGTGGAACTAGTTTCACGCATTGTTAGTGAGAATGTATAACAGTACAGTCCACAGATAAAACATTTAGATGATCAAGGTTTGTCATCTGCATATTTATTGTAGAGGAATGAAAGTTATGTTCACACAAAACCCCATATGCAAATCTCGTAGTATCATTATTTATAAAAGTTGAAACCAGGAAATAATACAAATCTCTTAAGTGAATGGTGAAACAAACCGGCACATTGGTATGTATACTACTCACTAACAAAAATAAAACGACTATTCAACTCAAATAAGTCTTAAGAGCAATTTAGCAAGTAACAAAACCACAAAAAGCTTACATGTTCCCTGTTAATAAAAAGTTATAAATTTGTATAAATAAATACAATTTATTTATATAAAATGTATAAAATCCAGTTATAACATGACTTTTATAACATTCATGAAATGACAGAATTACACTGATGGAAAACAGGTAAGTGGTTGCCAGAGGTAGGATTGGATAGAGGGTATGAACCTAAAAGGGTAGCATGAGGGAGTCTGTCGATTAAGCAATTTTCCAGCATGGTTGTGGTTACATGACATTAAATAGGTAATAAAGCTTCTTAGAATAACGAATTTTAAAATCAAAACACTAAAACCTAATGAAATCCAAATAAGGTTAGAAGGTTTGCTAACAGCATACTATCAATGTTATTTTTCCTGGATCCAATAATAAAATACGGTTATATAAGATGTTTTTACTGAGAAAATTTGGGTAAGGATACAAGAGAAGTCTCTAAACTACTTTGTAATTTCTTGGAAATCAAAATGAGTTCAAACGAAACATTTTATAAAAATAACTTTGAAGGTGGTTTTGTAAAATATTTGGCCATACTTATAAATTTAGTTAAGAAATATAAAGGTGTTATATTTATACATTTAAAATATTCAGTTTCCCTTTAAGGTACTTCAGTATGCTAAATTTACAGCCAAGTTTAAAGCCAAAGGTAACAGCTAATCATACAACATGGGGTGGCTATAGAACTCTCTATAGAACATTCCTATATGGTATATAACAACGAAAATTAATCAGGGGTGCGTAGAGCAAACTACTTTTTAAAACTATGGCATTACTGACAAAGGCAACAAGAAAGGAGGTTCCAAGTACTGTCTGAAAATGCACATCAGATGAATCATCTGATGTATAATGAGGTTAGACTTGTAACAAAAAGCACTCAAACATCATCATTTCACAGAATTTCTTTCCTTTGTGAGTTCTCTGATATCTGACTAAAGATGCTCTACATTTAGCATGTTCATAAAGTTTTAATTTCTATATGATTTCCTGACCAATGATGGGGCAGAATGTACCCCTGAAATCCTGCCATATACATACTGTCCTCTTAAAATTTTTCTCCAGTGTGAACTCCAGGGTCTTCTTTCTGGGTAAATGCTTTCCAATGGTCATATATTTTTTTCTTTCATATTTCTATGAACAGTGAGCTCACTGATGAACTGAGACGTTCCTGACAATAAGTTTATCTTCCCACTGAAGACTCTGCTAATCTCTGCATTCACAGAATTTGTTTTGGTAAACACTTTTCACATATATAATTAAGCTGGAAAGGCATCTCCACGTTGAATGTATCAGTTTTTCCAACATGCTTTTTTTTTTTTCCCCCAACATGTTTTCATTGACAGAAAATGTGAGGTAAGGATCACTAAAGGCACTACCACAGTCACTGTATTTACCAGGGTTCTCTCCTGGGCAAATTCCTTAATCTCCTCAGAGCACACAATTGACAAAAGTACCATGACTGCATTCCAATCTGCTAGACATGCTGATGGCATTTCCAGTCACTGCATTAAAA